TTTTAAAGTGCACGATTAAGCCATTGAGTTCGAGTAATTTATATATACTGTTTCAGTACCGGTATCGTGTCGTTGTCAACTTTCTAGTACGGGTTTCCTTATTTGTTTGCGGGAACCAAAAGGTCTGTTGGCGGGTGGGGATTTAGTGTACGTATGTAATGCCGTGTATCTTTTGGTGCATATCTGGTCAACTCAATAAGTCTTTGAGGAGTGGATTGTAGATCTCCAGAATTCTCCAGAAAAGAATCCAGAATTGGTATGCTGGAAATGTTGGTAACGAGGGTAACGCAAGGTCGAAGAATTTTTTGGAGATACACAAGTATTTATAAGGCGCAAGCAATTTTGTGGGGTTGGGTAGGACAACTGCATGTTTTCTAAAGGTAGATACGGTTTCCGTATGCTTGCCATGACAACACTTACGTCAATAAGTGTTGCATAGAATGATGCTAGATGTTTGTGGGCAATGGCAAAAGAAACACTATTTAAGTTGAGCCACCCATAAATTAGCATTGCTTCCTGTTATAGGCTCAAACGTGCAATTCACTTAAACGGTTGTCTAGGTACTTACTGTTTGCTTCAAATTTTTTACACAGTCATTAATTCTTGGTAGTTGCTGCCTGCACTTCAACTGAAAATAATATTTAATATCTATCGATTCAGTTTTGACCTTTTTTGTGGGGCTTTAATGTTGTAAAATGCGAGGTGTATTAACCAATTTCAATTGTGAGTAATCTTATGTTCACGAAAATAAGTATCATTATGATTGAAATAATGCGCCTTTCCTTTAAAGTCTCTTGTTCTTTTTTACAAATTTCACATCTGCAGCGTATTGATACTTCTGGTTTTTAAATTATTGCATTTTGTTGTGTTCTAAATCTTTTAGACCACCTTTATTCTGCTCTGAGATTGATTAGGTAGCACTACGAAAAAATAGGGCTTGTGTTTCATTGAGCAAGCGATACAATTTAAGTACCTCTGCATTGGTGTGAAGGGAGGACCTTAGTGACCGAAAAAGACACTTGTATTATTAATGTTTGTAGCACTCAATGAATTTATATGTATTTTGTTATTGTAATGTATTGTGGTTGCACAGTGTATTTGTACCTTGATAAATATGCTGGTTTTTTTGTAGTTAAAATGTGGTTGCTGTACGGTGGAACGTAGGCTGTGTATTGGTTTAATTGGACACTGTTGAAAAGCCTGTAAAAATAATTGCACCATGTGGGATTACTGGAGAACATTCAAAGTTTTTAGCTGTTAACTAACTCTTACAGAAGTAGACTGCCTACAGAATTTGTAATTAAAAAAAGTGAAAAAAATAAAGTGAAAAGTTTAAATATTCAGAAAATATTTTGGTTTTGCTCAATATGAAAAAGGCTTCATGTGAAGTACCCTCATGTTTATTAAACAGACCTTTATCTGCCTTACTGATTATTTTATATTGCTTTTTTAATTTAATCTGCCGGACTGAGGCAACTAGCAATTGTAAAGACTACCCTCAACACAGCTACCCTGAACACATCTTAAGAACATTTTTGATGCTCTTTTAATCATTATTTTTGTTAAAAGCCGCGCATTATGACTGGTAGACGCTAAATTATAAAAGTGCTGGATTAGAAGAAGTAGTTTAAAAAAAAGCAGCGACTGACTCCCAACAAAGACTGTACCTTAAACCAATATTAAAGTTAATTTAGACGATACTCATTACGCCGCAGTCTGTCAACGTTTTACCCTTGTGTGATGCTAAAATAAAAACGAAATTTGCACTGTTCTTTCAAGTTAGCAAAAAGTGCATAAACAAGCTTGAAACTAACGAAGATCAACCAGGCGAGTCAGCAGTTCTGAGTTTGGGTAGGATAGTGGTGAATAAAGACACGTTTTGAATGGAGTATGCTAACTTCAACATGCTAACTTGTTTCTTTTTTAATGGTTCAAAAGATACTACGTTTTGAACAGTCGTAATTGGTTTTACTTTGTGGAACATTACATCTACATTTTGCCATGGAACATGGAGCAAGACACTTACGGTCTAGAAGGGTGCATATACTTATCTTTAGTTTTCTGAAACTTCTTTCTGCTCATTGTCGTGCTGTTCTGTTTTTACTTCATCATGGTTGAATTTCTTTTTCTTCTGCAGTGCCGCGATCTACAATACACTGCCGTTTATGCGACGTTTTGCTTGCGTGACAGCTTGCTGTAAAAGCTTCATCATTAATAAGAAATTTATTATTGGGACGGTCAGCTAGCTGTCATATTAATTTCTCTAAATATTTTTTTGCGTTTATTCCTTTTGAAAATGTGGATTCTTCTAATTTTTTCAGTGCTGTATCGTTTGTAGGTAATACGTTACCCAGTTTTTCTAACCTGCTGTTCAGAAAATAATCATTGCCTGTGGGCCAGAAAATGCAATAATATATAAGGATCAAAGTTCTTCAGGAAATTCGAACACTTCTCATAAAATCGTTGGTTATTATTATAGTACTAAAAGAAGATAGTTTTCGAAAAATTTGGGATACCAGATTTGTTCCAAGGTTACAACAGTTTGCACTAGAGCGCTCTAAATTTGTGGTTTGAAATTTCAAGAAGACTAAAACTTTGGTTTGTATCGACAGGCAAGTTTGACGGGGCCGTCAGCAAAAAAAGGCGAAGTATTTCGAACCCTTGCTGGAAGCTATATTTTGGTTAAGAACAGTTCTTTGTAGTTAAAAGAATTTTTTTTGAACTTACTAGGCTTTGCTTGAAGTTTTTTGCTTTAATAAAGGGTTTAACAAGGTGTTTTCACTAGCTCCTTAGTAGTTCACCTCATCAGCATTGTTCTTTCTATAGTCTGATTCGTCTGCTGCAGCAGGCTCGCAGGTTTAAACAAGATTCAGATCGAAAATCTAGTAAATCTTAATGTTCTGTGAGCGTAACCGCTGTTTAGTTCTGACATATCCGAAGACATCGTACCACTCGAGTGTATGATTAGGCAAGCTGTCTTTTTCTTAACAGACAGATGCACTGTTTAAAAGTTTTATCAAGTTTAGTGGTTGATTTAAAATTATGTTCTCAAGCCACTTATTTTTTTTGATATTGGTAGCCAAATTAAAACATTCGTTGGTGCAGAATACTGAAGGCGATTTGACATATGCTCTCCTTATCCTTAACCTTTTTTTAAAACAAGATATATGTAGCTTTTTACGAGGTTCACATTTGTCTTATTATTGAATGAATCTTAGAAAGAAAGACAAATCTTTTTTCACAACTAGCTGTGAGAGCTATGAAGTAATGAAGTATGAAGTATTACTTTTACGTCTGCCCTATTTTAGGCAGTAATTTATAACTTTTATGCAATTGATTTCGTTTGTTATGAAGCTTTAAATCTTTAAATCTTTCGATCACTTTTTCCAGGCCTTACGAAAAGCGATGGATGAAGTCAGCTTTTGTGAGGGTACTGCAGAAGACTTCCGTAAGGCTGTGGATTTAATGTTTCTGGACAAAAAGTGGTTAATTTCGTATACTGATTTTAACGCATATAAAGCAGGCTGCTCAGATGGGACCTGTCGTTTTATTATTTCAAAAAATTCAAAAGGTTTTTGGACTTCTTCTCTTTGGTTTTTAGAGTAATTTGACGATAAACTTACTAAGCCAAAAGCCGCAGATAAACACTGTTTTCAAGTGATATATTGAACAATGAAATGTGATGCTAATTCCAAAAGGTTGCTTCCTCACTTTTTAGTTAAAAAGTTTCACATCTAAATGAGACTCGGAACAGGAAAACGTCTGCTGTGGGTTTGCAGGAAGATGTTTTCAGGACCGTTTTTTGTGCAGTTCTGTAAATCCGTTGTTGCAGATGGCAGGTTTCTGCTGTCACATGAGCACATTTTAGCTGAAGAAGCTGAAAAGGATTTTGCTGAACCTTTCCTTATAAGAAGCCTTGAAACCTTCTTTGTTGCTTTAGTTTCAAAACAACAACTCTTACTCTAGCTAAAAACTCTTTGAATGGAGTTTCCATATTGTTGGCGAAGACAATTTCAAAAATGAGTTGTGCCATCTATTCGTGTACTGAAGCGTTGTCCACGTTTGCTGCGGCATTTAGAACATAGAAAGTAGGCACTGTTTAAATAATTGCCAGTAGTTTCTTCCTGGCTGAATGCTTCTTTCTGCTGCAACTTGAACATTTAGAGGACTGTGTCACATCTAGAGGCACTTTCCTAAACTGAGGCACTCAGTAGTCTGCAGTAGTTTACTCACATACTCACTACGTGGGTTCTTTTTATACTACAATGCTTCAACAGTGACCGTAATTAACCCTCACGTATTATAGCGACAACCTTACTTTTTTCACTTTGGAACCTCCTCTACCTTAACGACTTAAGTACTCCTTAGATAACAATCGTATATGATGATGAAGCTTTTCGGACACCAGTTCAAACCTAGTGCTAGACCTGACAAGGAAATAACAATACAAATTATAGATAATAACAAATTTAAACCAATAAAATAAATCTAGAGCTGCCGCTGGGCACGCAGTAACAGGTTGTAAAATGTAAAGTTAATCAGAGAAAAGAAGTTGCTGAATAAGCGATTGACGATAACCGATGAATATCACTTAAATGAAAGACACTCATAATTTTTATATTACTGCCTCATTTATAACTGGTGTCTATCCGCTAAACTAGCCAGTTTGATCTTTATTCTAAACAAGCATCTTATCATTATTAAAGCTCTTTGGAGAGCACTTTTGCTTTTCAAATCTGTTTTTGAAGTGTCTATTTTAGCGCTACTAGTACTAGAAATCTAAAAAATTTACTTAAATTGTGGAATTTATCAATCCTTTAACTATGTTGTTCTCTTTCGTGTTTCTGAAAAAGAAAATTTTTTGCGTTTTGTAAAGACGGTAAGTTGACGATGTTGTTTTTTCTAAAATTCACTTCTTTGTTTTGACCATTTTTTGAGAAGAATATCAAAAAAATATTGATGAGTGACAGAAAACTTGAGACGTATCCTGAAATCAGAGTATTTCTAGAGACTGGTATGGGCTCATTTAGGAGACTTTGTTGGGTGTATTTCTATCGCCGTACTTCACCCAGGGTTAGCTTTTATTGACAATTTCTATACAGTTCCCGATTATCGTGGTAAAGGGCTTGGAAGCAAAATTTTTAGCTTAGCAGTCACAGACGAAATACGAGAAAAATGTAATGTTGGGCTTCATGCAGGTAACAGTTCCAAATTTTATTTAAAAAAATCCGAAATTTTTAAATTGAAAATTTGTAGGAGTGATAATAAACGTCTTATTTCCATAAATTTTTTGCATTTTTTGCAGTACCGGAGGTGTCCGAATATTACAAGAAGAAGCAGGATTTTTCTTGCTTTCAAATTTGTCGTCTTGAAGTGTATCACTTGACAGGTTTTTCTGAAGCCATCAAGAAGATTTCGGATAAAAAAAACTTCAGGTGATTCTCTTGCCCTTAAAAAACATGAGAGTAACACTTCGATATACATATGTCACCCAAAATGTGTTAATGGCAGTCGATTAAGCACATGTAATTTTGAAACCGCCATTTTTTTTGCAGAATTCATCAGATGAACTACCTTGATTTATTTGACCTTAATTTTTACGAAAGAGTAGTTTTTTAGGATTCTGGATGCTAGAAAAGCAGTTGATAAGGTCCTTGCAATTGATAAATTAGTGTGGAAGAGAACAAGAGAAACATTTTTAAATGCATGGCTGAATCGTGAAGAAACTACTGCTGTGGTGGGTTTTAAAAATAATCACTATCAGTTTAATTTCAAAGTACATTACATTTTTAATTCCAGTTACACTGAATAATCATTTTCAAAAATGAACAAGATTATCCGTCAGCACTTCTGCTTCTAAGTCAAAGTAGCCTTGAAAAATGGCTAATTTTAGACGTTTTTTGAGCAATATGACTTCTCTTACCAAAAACCAAATAAAATTTCATCACTTGACCTGAGTGATGTTACGGCAAAACTCACTTAAAACTCGTTTCATCGACACTCCACCGCAAACGAGGACTTTCTTCTTAGCGCTGTCCCACTACTGTGAAAAACTTTTACTGGCTTATGATAATTTGAATGCCTGTACCTTCTGTGCAGTTTTTAAGACCGTTGTGATCGCTTTAAATTCAATCGCTTTGCTCTCGCACTTAATCGTGGTAAGACTGCATTAATCTTGAATCAATTGGTTTTCTTTCACCTATCCTTCGATTCCGTTGGATGTGCAGAGTGGAGTATTTCCTAACGACAAGAAAGCTGGATTTTTTACAAAAAACACGCGTTTCTCACGTTACCATAAGCTTCTCAAAAATAATTTGTTGAGCATATATAAGGTGCAGCACTTTGCTTTGAATTTCTGTACGTTGTGAGCAAAATCTATTTCCTAGGTTCAGTCACTTGTTATTGCAAACTGCTTTTACCATGGATCTCTAGAATGCTAATCAGCAGTGCGTTCCGCTTGTTTTGGTACGCAGCTGGCGTACTCCTCACTTATATTTATTGGCAAAATTTAGTAGTGGACTAGGTTTTTGATAGTCAAATATAGCTTGTAGATTCTGTCGACATTGTAAGCGAACTTTCCCTAATAATATTAAAAACAGCTTAAAAACCGGAAATGGGCAGCAATTTATAAGCGTTTGACAAACAAATTATTTGCTTGTTGTCAGTCTTTCGGCTATAAAAATCCACACCTGAAACCAAGCATATTTTCACCATTTAATCCACTATTTTACTTTCATTGCTCGCTGAGATTTTTCAGCTAGCTCAAATGCTTAAATTTGGCTAACTGTTACAAAACTAGGGGAAGTTTCTTTGCCCAATTTAATAAGTCCTGCTTTGCACCAGCACCGAACTTTCCAAAATGCTTTGGTTGATAGAAATTGAAGAAGGCATTAAATACATACGAAGTCAAGCATGAAGTAGCGCCGATATTTGTCTGAACTGTACACAAGAACAAGGTACAGTAATACAAAATTGAAGAACTCAAATTCATAATAATCTAAGAACTGCACACTTTGCCGGCTTGTTTAGAAAGCTGGTATTGCATACTCGAAATAAGAAATTAATGTAATGAGTATGATTCTCCAACACGACTCACATTTACTAGGATTTTCGTCTTGATAGGTGCGGAGCCAACGAAGCTGGACTCAAACCTTTTGAAACAACCCCAAAAAGGAATTTACTTCAAAAGGTCCAGGTTTACAAGAAAGAATGAGAACTGACGGTTGCTTCACTTAAGTGAAAAGCTGCAGTTGAAGCTTTAATGTGCTACCCGGAGTCTTGTAAAATAGAAACAGGTCACCAACTACCCTCTTTGAAGGTTGTCAGCCTTTTGAATGACTTGGCATGAACGGCCCCTCAGCAGTGTAAGCGTTGTTGCGTACTCCAAATTGCCAAAATTGTGAACGTTTAATAAGCATCACTTTTCATCCGTTTTCAAAAACTAAGAGAAAACCAACTTCCCTTTCTAATCACACCAATTGAAAATCAGAACTTTTTGACGGCCGGGACACGTTCTAGATGCTTGAATTGCAATTTTTCATCATAGAGAACGAACTATTTTATGGTTCAATAGTAAGTGAGGAGGGGGCGATCCCAAAACACTCAAGAATAGCGTTTTTTAGACCTAAAGTTTTCAGGTGATATGCGACGAGAGTGCAACCCTCGGATACGGTGTACTCCGAAAGTCATGTGGTATCAACAGCTTCATTTTTGGCCCCATTTATCTGACACAGGCAGAAGCGTTTTTGCCACTAATGAAAGCTACACTCACTGGCTTGCCAGAAGATTCAAAAGTTGAAATTCGGTCACCATCTTTCAACAGTGAAAAGGTTTGTAAAATGCTCGAAGGCTTTGGGACTTACAAAAAGGAAGCTGAATTTATCACCCAATTCACCAAATCCCTTCCAGATTATAACTATGACTTAGTGTACTGTATTACAGATACATTGACACCTGTTTAAAGTTACCAATTATAGTAAAACTTTCTGCTAAGATTCTGATGTGTACAGTGTAATGGTTAGCAATCTCCAAATATTTATTACTGATGAATGCTTTCTTACACGTAATCCTCTTGAGTCAATGAACAACGAGCAAAAGAAAAAAATAAATAAACAAAAAAAAGAAATCCACATAGTTAAGTTCAAAATGGTAAGTTAGAAAGTGAGAAGCCGCATAAGTAAGTGATTCTCAGCCGTAATCAGAGACATTCCACTATTATCAAAAATACTGTTACAAACAGTTACCTAGACCGTTTTAAAAAACATTTAGGTGTGAAACTTTTTTTCCTTCAAAATAAGAGCCATCAAGTAACATCTCTTACAGCACTTTTTGTTTCTCTCTTTTCAATTCCCAAATATCAGCGAACAACAGCGTACCAGAAAACACCAAAAATGCTCCAAACCAATGCGCCACAGTGAACGGGTTTCTAAACCAGATTATAGATATGAGTAAAGAAATGAATTTCCGCAGTGTAACGACCAACGTAACGGATAAAGATTGAAGTTCAGCGTTCATAAGATACACGAATCGGATACAAACCCATCTAAAACAGGAAAGGAAAAATCCTTAAACGTTGAAACTACTCAAACAAGGGACGCGGTTATAATATGTAAAATCACAGTTCAAATCATTCGGCCACCAATTACTAACAGTATCTATTAATATATAGAACGTGAACTGTTACTCACTAGTAACAAAGTCATTGCTAACTATGAAGACTTACTGTAAGACACATGCACCAGCCAGATAAAGCCACATGTGAGGTATATTGAACCCTACAATATTTACGGGAGAACTGGACGAAAATATCCTAACAAACTTCATTATATCGTTACCCATGAGAGCAAATAAAGGCATCGACGTTGCATGCTAAAATAGCGCATCAATATTAATCCAAGGAACTAAAAACTGCAAATTAGAAAACATTTAGCAGTTAAAAGCAGCTCATACTTTAAAAAACGTTCTTTAATGCTTGTGATGAGTAAGATTTCACAAAAAATGAAACTAATATCATATAGCCCTGTGTCAGCACAACCAGTAAAGATGCTGAGAACGTTCTCGAAGGTCCACAACATAACTTTTTAAACTGCCAAAATTTTATCCTTTTTCTCCTAATCATCTTAAAATATATCTCTCCTGTTGTAACGTTGCTGCTCTTTATTCAATGTGCTAAACCTTGAAATGCATCCTGACAAAAAGCATGACTTTATTCTTTCCTCAGTTCCACCACTGTTGGCCTAATAACAGGCTATGTTTCACAGCTATTTCAGCACAAACCCCCCATCCCCCTCCCCAAAAAAAAATTCTCGAAAAATTTTGGAAAACAGAAGTAGTTACAAAAATAAATTTTCGGAAGTTACACTTAGATGGTTCTAATTTTGCATAAAGTAAACTACCACGAAGAGCCATCAGGCATACCCAGACATAACTGTAAATCTCGTCACGAGCGAGCTTTTCAAAAAACAAAAACACCTTAGCACAATGCCAGCAAGCAGCTGCTCTATAAACCGTGGTGTCAAACTCTCATCTTTAACCTGGTCCCTTCTATTCCATCTAAAATGGCACAAGTAGATTTTCGGCAATAGACCTTGCTGTAGCATCATATTCGCGTTGTAGAAACTGAATGTGACCATCATTGACAATCTGTTTTTTTTTAAGAATAGAGTAAGTTCAAAAAAAGTAGTTTTTCCTTAAAGGAGTCTGTTTTCTAGTTTTTTTCTTGTATGATACAAAGTCAAAGATAGTGTAAAAAAACTCATCACTTAATCGAGTCCCATTCAGAATTTTTGAAAAAGGAGATAGGAAGTGAAGAACTACAATAAGGTTGGAAAGCCGCTTTTGTCTTACTAATAAATAGCAAAATGCTGCGATGAAAAAATTAGATAAATGTAATATTTTTAATTCAAGATATGGTAAGAAAAATATGCTGCAGAGCTAATATCTAAAACGATTTCATTTTCCAGGTCTACATAAATGTTGAGCAAAAAAGCTTGTTTTTGCTATATTGCTAAGTGCTTTTCCACTATTAGAGCAGCCGTAGCACCGCAACACCGTTTACATGTACGTGAACAAACTTGGGAAGATGTCATCAATTGCATTCAATCACAGTGCTTCTTCTCGTAAATTATCTGCCTATTACAGTTCCATCCAAAAATTTACACAGCCATTTGCAAAAGAATATTTTCTGCAAAATACAAAATGAAAAATTAAAGGTCCAATATCCTCTTCACTGACTCTAAAACGAGAATTCTACACTAGTCTTCTGCTCATTTAGGAAAAGAAGAATTACAGAACTGTAAAAGAAAACTTTCGATTTCTACTAGGGGTATTTAGTGTTCCCTGCGGAAGTGTCCATGTTTTTTCATAAAACAGAAACAGTGAAAATTTTCCGCAACAAGTTACTTCTCTGCTTTCTCTTTTTAACCGAGTAAAATACAGTTAGAAAAGCGCACCTCTGAGAAGTCTTAAGCAATGACCAATAAGCCATCAGCTAAAAAATATTTGCCCAACTTGAAATTTTTTCACAAAAAGCTTCAGACAAATTATGCATCAATGAATGAGTTCGTCATGTTAGAATTTTCAAAAAGGTGGCGAGCTGAAGTTACAGTAAAGAGTTTAACGAGTTTTAAGCTCAAACTGCAATGAATATCAAAGAAAATATTCCTTAAAAGGATCTCTGACAAATCTCGGGTCACTCAACTAAACATCAAAATGTATCTTTCAATTGCCTATACTTAGAAGGGAATTTCAAATAAGCTGCAACTAGATAATTTTTAATTGTCTCATGCTGAAAGATACATTTAAGGATGAAACAGCGCTGCATTTCTGTAAATTAAAAAGTGATCAAGAAGTGGCGAAAAAATTAAAAACACCTGCCATGAGCACAGCACTTAAAAAAACACTAGCAAAAACAAACCACATAAAACATCGCCTCCCTCGTATGCTTTCCGTACTTCCGATACATATTCTCTTGGCATATTCCCAAATAAGCAGATGCTACTAAAACAGTTACCAGCATTCCGACTCCTTAAAATTCAGTAAAATTCACCACTCAATAACTCAATGTAAAAATAAAAAGTAAAAAACAAAAATTTCAAACACAACAGCGTCTTCTTTTTCAGAGGCCTAATTACCTCAACCTCTTCTAATTGATCACGTAAAAATTACAAATAACGATGTTTACAAAAACTCAAAAGAGGAACTACAAATATTAACCAATCAGCCATTCCTTGTAATGTCTAGCCGCTTGTTCCGCATCCATCCCGGAAGACTTCTAAAAACTTAAAAGGCTAGAAATAAAACAATAAAGACAAAAGTTTTTTTCGAATAACCCTACAAACAGTGAAACGGCGGAGAAATATTTATTTAATTAACGCATAAAAAGTAAAAACAAATAAACTTATTTACTCAAAACACAATAGTTTCTTAAAATAATGAGCCCTCGATAAAGACTTGCCTGTAAACTAGAAGTTGCTAAGGTGCATATAATTATTCCCACGGTGATCATTATCACCGAAAAATACTTTCTAAGTGAGTACTGGCGTCCTTGAAGCAACTTAGTCATCACAAGACTAGCCAATAGTGATCCCTGTTTTGAAATCCGTCTTCATGATATTATGTAACTCAAAATTCAAAGTATTCTTAAACCTGTTTCTTATTTAATCACCTAACTTGTATAGAAATAATGTAACAATGTTGAAGCAGTAATAATTCATATAAAAACAACATCATTTTCAACATGTATTTTTCCGGTCTACCTTCTCTTTAACCTGTAATAAAAAACACTCAAAAGTAATAAACCGGGAATTCAGAGACAGGTAATCTGCAGTAATCCAAACTTTCACCTGATTCACTAAACAAAACAACGAAAAAAAATTTTTTTCTTGACTCAACTATCACTAACCAGAAAATTCACTAGGAATAACAACTTGCTCTGATCAACAAATAACTTTTAAAATAACCCTGGTAACACCTATAAGGAAAACACAGTTAACGACGCGTAAAAGAATCACACAAACAATTCATTTTTTTTTTTTGAAAAAAAAAACATTCAAGTTAAGGACTCACAAAGAATGGTAATTGCGGACTACAAGTAACAACTAAGAATGATTCTTCCAACAAATAGCAGTTCTTTATGACCAAAAAAATCTTTTTCAGAGAGCCTACAACTGAAAAATAAAACACATGTGAGATTATATTATGATAAATTATTTATTCATGAAAGTGAACGTACCGAACGAAAAATTATGTGCAGAGGTACTGGCACGTGGAAATTCAGTGCCTGATTATTGATAACATTAACAAAAAAAAACATCCCCATAGTTGGAAGATAGCCTCTGAAAAGAAAAGGATAAGATTAACAGCTAGAATTAACCTTATGTTCACCACAGAAAGCGTAATCTTTCATAGAATTTTTTTTTGACTTCTCTTAAAAACGGTTTAAAATGTAGACCAAAACATGTCGAATTCCACTACCCTACAACAAATCATATCATCAGAAGAACTTATAACACACAAACCTTAATGGTATTTTATTCTGAACTGTGAAAAATTTGGAGGTGAAAAAAAGGCCTTCCAGAGAAATAAACAGGAATGTAGAAAATGTCAATAAATTCATAGAACCCGGCTGCTCTCTGAAAAAAAAAGGCTACATGACTTGCCCATTTATTGGCCAAATCCACAATTAAAAGGAAAGCAATGTTACGCAGATTACGTACAAATGTCACAAAAGCGACGCAGCTTCAAAAAAAAGTTGTGTAAATTCCTAAGGAGCACAGAAGAGTTACAGAGGAATACACTTTGATTCAAATAAACATACTGGGCTATAGATTCCACAAAATACATACTACCCAGGCATCCTCCAAGTGTTCCCGACACAGCAAATGCCGCCGTCGACATGTCTTTCTGCTCTAAAAAACAAGAAGTGTTACACAGGCTAAAAAAAAAGAACTTCGTCTTCGGTAACTTAAAAAGCAGCTTAAACAAATCAAAAAATATATATATATATTTTTTTTTCTTAAAAGACGTCTAGAAAAATATTTCAAAAATTAAAAAAAATTCTCACAACAAATCCGAATTCCGACGGTTTTTGACTTCAAAAACGAAACTGAACGAATGACAGATGCTCTATAAAAACGTAATGAGTTAACTTCGCAGAGCAACTTTCGGCGATCTGTCACCAGCCCGGCTAACCGCTAAACAGAGAGTTAAAGACATTACTGATCACACCTTCAAAAAGAACATTTAAAGAACGGTACACGCAGCAAAAAAAAAATTGATAACGACAACTGTAACACTAAAATACATCCAATAAACTCCACGACCACAAAGCACAAAATCAAACCAACAATTAACACAGCTATATACACATTCTCCAGACAAACCAAAAAATGATATATATGTATATAACTGTTCATTTACTTATTTGAATATTTACATTTGCAAAAAATAGTACCACCGGTGGGTATGAATAGAACAAATGTAATTTCTTCTGTTGGGCAACGCAATCAAGAACAAATTTGGTAAAGCTAGAGCTATTTACAGAATCGTAACCGAGTACGTTGAATATAAAACTTTTGAAAACTCAAATAATAACAAAAAGTATTTTGGAGGGGGTCAAGTACGGCTTAGCCAGCGCGATGCCATTGTTGGATAAGCTTAAAACGCAGAAAATTTATATAAATGGTTCACTACAGAAAGACTTCCAACGAAATACTACAATGATAATATAAGACGCTTTGACCTCCTATTTTAAACTCTAACTTTTTTAACGTGCTACATTGTCCTTACCACGTCACAACTCTAATTCAGCCATGACTCTCAATTATGGCTTCAAAAGAGTTCAATAAACAAAAATGTTAAGCGAGCGTTCTTTCAGGAATTATTCCACAACTAAATTTTCAGAGCTGAAACCAAAACCAGTTCTGCCTGTCGTTGCTGGCTGCCTATAATAATCTGCTTTGTAACACAGAGAACTCTTTTCCGGCTGAATATGAAAAACTTTGTTAACGCTGCAGCACGTCACCACCAGCACAAGACAGCGACAGACAAGACTGATCATCGACCCAAACCTCAGTAAAAGTATCAAATTTTTGGGCAAACAATTTAACTACTTTCTATACAAATCTTAGACAGCTAAGCTTCAAAGAAACATTTCCAGCACATCTATTCATTCATTCCAATTAAAAGTTTAGAAACTCTTACACATAATTCTTATTCAATGAAAAATCACTATTCATGCTACAAAATGTAGCAAAAACCATGCGTGGCCCTATTAATGTAACTAAAGTTGCAAAAATTTGAAAAAAAAGCTTTATCAAACAACTGTTACTTTTTCTGCCAATGTTTCAGCGTTCACACGCT